AAGATCTATAATAAACACCATCTGCAAATTTAATTTCAAATGTTTTTTCCGTGGATAGATGAAACTTAAGTTTTTACTTCAAAATGTTGAAAATCGTACGTCTCTATTATTTTTTCTTTAACAGTTGTTTTAAAATCAATCGAGACTCTTGTATTTTGAAATGGATAGTAGTGTGAATTGGTTTTTAAAGAGCTTCAGCCCTTGAAAAAGAAAAGCTTTTAAAGGCTTTTTCTGTTGACAAAAGAAAACTTTTTCAATTATTACGTTTTTAGACCTTGACAGAGCAACTTTAAATTAAAGGTGTCGTTATATGTTGAAAAATATTTTCTCTAGTTCTCCATTTCGTTGTTATAGTAAAGTCAACAATGATGGATTTGAAAAAATAGCTATTGCAACTATTTTTTCAGTCAGCAAGAACTGCTTCCTGTACAGATCTAATACTAGTGATAGGAGAGTGTTCTTTTCCACTTTTGACCCACGAGAGAACTTTGTGTAAGTGCAACTCTGTGGCGTGTTATGAGTTATAGTTGTTTTCATTTTAGCTAGCATAATCTCATACAACATACACAAGCGATTCAACAATCATATATTGTTGATGCCTTTTATTTTCAGACCTGCTTTTATCTTGAATTTTTTGTCAATATGGGGACAAAATCCGATATGGATCGTATTGGTTTATTTAAAGAAATGGAATACTTTACGATTAAAGATCCATATAAAGAACCAGCTCGTTGTAAGTGAAGAAATATATAGTTCCTATATCGATCTAACTAATAGATCTTCTTTTCAGTTAATTTTAATGAAGCAGCATACAAACAAAAACAAATGTTGTCTAGGGGATCGAAAATACGATCGACTGGTTCTTTAGCAGGCTATTTTGATAAAGAATTTAAAATAATACCCGGATCATATGTTGATCCAATATCAATGAGACGTAAAATGCGATTGAAAGAGAAAGAGAAAAATATTGTTAAAAAATCATTTGTCACAATGTACAGAGCGAGAAGTCCGTAAGTATCTCCTTTCACTTTTGACTCAAAATAAAAAGCTTATATAAATGATTTCTCCATTTAAGCGAGGGTCTCGGCTCGTTTTATGGCACATTTCAAGGTCCCATTAAGGACATTGATCCTACAAAATCAAAATATCGTGAGCGACCGAAAAAAGTTGCAGAAAAAATCAATTTTAAAGTAAATCCATCAAAAAAGGGAACAGGCTATGGGTACGTTACACTTTTTATTCATACAATCTCAGTGTCTATATTTTCACTTTATTTATTTTGTCTCACAGCTATCCTAATTTGGGAATTGAAAAAGATCCACCGTATGCATACAAAGATAAAACAGATAGTTACAATGCACCACTTGATACTCAAAAGGTGAAAAATCAATATTGCTCACCACTTCTATTCCATAACAAACTTATTTTTCTCTTATTTTAGAAAGAATCAGAAAGTCATAAAGCAGCAATGAAAGCTGGCGTTTTCAAATTAAATATGCATCCAAAAGAATATTTTGATAAAAATCCATTTCTTGAAGATCCAAAAGTAAAGGGAGGTGGAGATAAAGAACGATCAAAATCAGCTCCATCCGATACAAAACCATTTAAACCAAGTTCACCAGGAAAAGCGGTATAAATTTGTAATTTTTTTCCTGGAATATATAATCAAAAATTGTTTGACCTCTTGTTTTTAGTTAGGCGGTAATAAAGATGGTTGTTTTTCTAAATTTCCAATTCGATCAGAAAAAGATCCATTTGTTATCGGTACAATTTATTCTCAAGTTAAAAATGAAATGAATAAACAAGGGAAAACATTTTATCCAAATAAATTTCCAAAATCTCGGCCTTCAGAGTCAACAATTAATAAAAATATTAATATACAAATAAATCGTCAAAATTATAAGAGTATGCATAATTACTCATCATTCAATGTATTACCAACTATATCACAAAGAGCAACTGTACGATGAAAATTTGTTTTTTAGCATCATAATTTTTAGTTTTTTTATTTTCATAATTTATTTTTGTACAAATGAATTGTATTTTTTTTTTATATTTTTTTATCATACAAATGAAATTTTGAGATTTTAAACAGTAACAATGTATAAAATGAGAACTAATATTTTAAATATATGGTTGTAATAAATCATCAAACTCATTTCGTTCTTCACGACTTAATGATTTAAGTCCAAGTCCTTTAATTTCTGGTTTTTTCTCAGCATCGTATAGTTTTTTCACGTTTTCTTTCAAATTTTTTTCAGCTTGACTAATTTCACGATCCATTTGATCAAAATCTGACAAAAATACACATACATTAAAATAGATGAACGTATAAGAAAAATATTTTAACACTCACCACGTTGTACAAATCGTTTACAATCTTTAGTTGATAAACTAAGAAAATTTTGATTGAGACAAATCCAATTTGTTTTTGTACGAGTTGGTTGTTTATTGAGAGACCTAAAATGAGAAATAAAAAAGAAAAAATATTAATAGCAGATTGAATTTGGAATTTTTGTTTTTTTTTTGCCTGATTGCTTCGCGTAATTTATCTCGTCGTTTATTCAATTCAATAATTTCTCGTCTTTCAGCTATAACATTTTCTGCTAGTCGTTCAATTTCTTCTAGATATTGCAAGACAAATTCGGGATTATCATGAACACCTTTAGCCATGAAAGAAATTTTTTTTTATTCTAAAAAACAAAATACACACAATTATACAGTGGAGAGAATATATTTCATTGTTTTCACAGTGTGAACTAAACAGTTTATAGATAACTATAACAAATCTATTTAAACTGTACATATCTTTATTATATACAATTATTTATTTAAAAATAAATATTATATTATTATAACAATAATATAAAAATCATATTGACTATATGTTGTTCATAACTATACTGTTTTATTATATGCAACCCATATAATGAAGAGTGCATGCAAACAACCAGGTATCCAAGCAAGCAAAGATAAAACAACGTTGAGTAGAAACTGCGTACCACATCCTTTTAAGATAAGTACGCACAATGGTAGTGAAGGTAAAGCTAATAATATCATAACGATTTATTCTATATATTCCATTTTGGTGAATTTATGTTTTGTCTTAAAGGGCATTTTGTCAGCAATTCGATGATTTCTTTGAAACTGAAGTAATCATACGGTTCAGTATCCCAAAGTGTCATCTTTCAGAATCCATCTCAATTTGCCAAAAATTCAATGTTTTTGAAGGTTTTTGAAAAAGAGTTCTGAAAGCCCTAAAAATCACGTTTTTCTACATTTCACATTTTAATTAAAATTTTTAAGATTGTCCGTTTTAACAGACATAAAGCTATGTTGAGCAGAGTGTTCTGATCAGAACGAGATGTCTAGCAGGTTTGTACGACTTCGCCTTGCAGAGTTATACTAGTTTCACTAAAGGCGCTGAACTAAAATTAATGAAGTGATGACGTCATTGTTTAGAATATGGTTTTGGCGCAGCAAAGTTGTATCTCTTCCTAGATGATTCGTCGTAAAACCTTCATTCTTTATTTATTTTGAAGCTAAGACATTTATCTAAAGTTTGATCCGCGGCGATTTTTGGTTTTCTGTGCAGAGATAAGTGGGAAATACTCCGCCGAATTAGGGTTATTTTCAGAGGTCTGACTTAAAATGCATGTAGGGAACGAACAAAAGCGAAATTCAAAAATCGCCTCGGATCATATTTTAGATTTGGATGTCTACTTTCAGTTGAGGTCACTCACAACCTTCTGCACCTTCCAACAAAAAAGCCTTTACGTTTTTGCTAAGAGTCCCATTTTGCTCCTTATCATGCAATAAGTCGACAGTGCTTCAATGTTTCGATCTCGAATTCTTAGCATAAGCTAGTAGGACAGTAAGCATTAGTCACTGAAAGCGCCATCGAAATCCGATGTAAGATAAAGTTTTTTCCTGAGTGGAGGGGCCCTTAAGATAGATTTAGTAGCGCACTCTTTAAAATTACGTATCAAACAAATATCTATAAGTGGAACTAAAAAAAGTTAACTTATTTAGACAAAAATACATGACGATGGTGAATATAAAGTGCGCTAAATCCGAATTCTATCATATTTGCGACAATTATAGGGGGAAATAAAGTGTTTAGTTTCAGAATCCGCAAAGTGTCATTTCAAATACTTCGTCTCTACCAATATCCGGAGAACTTCGCCATTTTTATTCAGAATAAATTGATTAACGATATACCTACTATAACAATTTTTTTTCCATAACTTCTATGTTTGCATTAACTCTTATTTTTCCTTGTGACAATTGATAAAAGTACATTGAAACAACATACAATTCAAGTTAAAACTACTCGATTAAAGACGTTACAATAATACTCGGTGGATTGATAAAAAAAAATAGCAAATAGCGCAGCAATGCGTGAAGCAGATGATAAGAGATTTTTTACATAATTGTCAGCTATAACTATGATACATACTTGATTATTTATCAGACATACATATTTTTACAAACTTTTGTGCATTTGGTCCATACTTTTAATTACTAAACAGTAACCATGTATTACATTGACCAGAAAATAATACTCAAAAAGCATAGAAGAGGTAGAACAATACTAAAAGTGTTAGTGCGTTGTATTCAAACTAATGCAGGTCATAGCATCTAATATACAATCTACATTACTTATTTTAAGAATAATGGCTTGGTCAACAAAAAAAAAAAAATAGTTAGGAAAAAATTCTCATATTACAAAATAGAAAAATTTGGATATTAGCAAGTTTATTCCAGATAAGAGAAAAAAAAGCAAACTACAAATAAATAACTATACATAACGAGAAGGTTAGGGTGTACACGTTCTGTCAAAATATTTTACTTTTAAAAAATTGTGGATTGTTTACCAAACAAATCTTTCTAATTAAACCAAATAATGATTATCTTTAATGAGCAGCACTCTGACGTTTTGTAACTTCATCGATTTCCTAGAACAATAATACAAACTTGTATTTATGAAAGAAAAATTATTAATCAATAAACATACTTTTATTAAAAGACCTTTTAGAAAATTATAAGCTACTTCGAGATTATCATTAACAACAATATGATGATAAACGCCTGGTTCTTTACTGAATTCTATTGATTCTTTTGCTTCTTGTAAACGTTTTTCAATGGCACTCTCATTCTCGGTTTGTCGATCACGCAATCTTTTTTCCTAAACATAATAGTTTTTACGATAGAGAAATTACATTTCAAAGAATACTTACAAGAATTTCATAGCTTGGTGGACTAACATAAATATATGTTGCATTCAGATCGGTTTTCTTTATATTTTTAACACCTTGTTTATCAAGATCCAGTATACATATTTTTCCCGTATTAGCAACATCTTCAACAGCTTTTTTACTAAAAATGAACATAAACTCGATTAGTATATTGGTATTAAAAGGTATTGATGGAATGGCTATACCTTGTACCATATAGATTGCTAGAAAATTCAGTTGATTCTAAAAATTCATTGTTTTTTAACATTTTTTCCATCTCATCTCTTTGTACAAAATGATATTCTAAAAACGAGTATAAAATGTTATACGAGATAATATTTTTTATAGTTAAAAGAGTTACCTTTTCCATTTTGTTCACCTGGTCTGGGAGAACGTGTTGTATCTAGAAAGAAGGGAAGAAACATTAAAGTAAAACACATGTAAAGATAGATTTTTAAAATGGCATACGTGAGATACTATAGGCAAATGCTGTAGGATATTCTTTGAATAATTTTGTAATTAACGTACTCTTACCAGAACTAAAAAGAAAAAAAGTTGATGAATTAATTTAAAATTTAAGAATATAATTTATATATTAAAAGTACATACCCGCTTGGCCCAGAAAAAACGACTGGACGTGGTGCTGTATAATGTGCCGGTGCCATTTTGGAAAGATATCTCACACCTGTTCTAGAAAATAAGTTAGTTAAGAAAACTTTATAAATTTTCGATGATCGCGTTACTACATTTATTTTATTCAAATATAAAAACAAAAAAAGAATTTTAAAACATGCAGAAATAAATTATATTCAAAAATGTAGTTGCGATCAATATTACAGTTGAATATTTTTTTTTTCTTCTCTTTTGTATGTTATTTGTTTACGCATAGATTATTTCTCAATACTTTAGAATTAAATTATCATATTATTTTTTTGCATAGTTATTATGTTCTATGAACATTAACGATATTGAAATTTGAACTTCCGCATATCCTCTTTTCATAAAAACATGCAATTTAAATAGGAAACCAATCATAGAAGATAATATAAGATTAGAAGACCTTTCAGTTACTAGAAATGAAAACTAGAACTAACTAGAATAGAAAAATTTTAGATGTACGAGGTTTCTAATCACTAGTAAAATAATTTTAAAATGGATGCTTATCGACTATGTACAAAACTCTTGGATTTCGTAAACATTTTTAGTTCATTTTTATGTTACTCTAAATGTGTTTATCACTGTACCATCTGTAATTTTCTGAAAACATGCATAGCGATTTCTTTCAATGTTAACAAAAACTATGTTCTCCAAGTTTAAAAACTTTGGAATAAAATTAAATTTACCGAAAAAAGATGTTCATCTGATAACTCGTGTGAAATGTAATTTGAAATAGAAAAAAAATCTAAAACCAAAAATGGTTACAGAAAATTTCTAATATAGAATCAAGAACTGAAGAATATGACCTGCTGGTGATTAATCTATGATTAATTGAATCTATACACAGAACATTCTAGTTTGTTTAAAAAGTTCGATAGTATAGTCTCAATTTGATAAAAATTCAATTGAACTTGATATCTGGACCATTATCGTTTTAAATTGAAACTAGAAAAGGCTGACCGCATAGGATGAAGATCAGTCATTTTGAACCCTCTGACTTAGAAATCAAGAAATCTTAAAAGTGAGAAATATAATGTAATGGTGCTGTATATAGCATAACATTTTTTCCGGAAATTGTCATCTCACTAATGTGTAAAAGAGTGTCTCAGTGACCACAATAAAATCACAGTTCCGATAAACACAAACTTTTTCATATTCGTTAAGTTTGATGAAGGGAAAATATCAAAGAGCGAGAAAATATGTAGAAAAAAAAGAATCACTACTTCCTTGGTAGAAAACAATACGAACAAACGCGAAAACTTTACCTACATTCACTCTTTGTCCATCCTATGAAAAAGACAGTTGGTTAAACGCAGACACAACTTATTTGCTAAACATTGTATAATTAAATGCGTTGACATAAACGACTACTCGTGCTCTCCTTTGATTGACGCAAAATTCGCTAATAGTATAATGATAATGTTCTATTGGATAATTGAGAGAAAAACTTATTTTTCTCGAAATTCAAAGTTTTATTTTTGTCATCAGATTTATTTTTGGGCTCCACTGTCAGATCCTATTGAACGTCTATAGTAAATCATCTAAAATGAGTTTCGCAAATAATTCTTTCAATAAAAGTACGATGGATCATGTCCAAGAAGAATATCAACCAGACATGTCAAAGTTATCAGTTGATGTAAGTTTTTCAATTATGAACATTGAATTCAAACATTAATTTTACACATTTAGCTTGATGAAGAATTACACGAATTATGGAAACGCTATCAAATTAGTGACACTGGATATAAAGCAAAATCAATTTTAGCAAATAATATTCATGAATTGTTCAGAGATGTGTTTCCATGTAATTAAAATTTATTTTCATTTAATAACCTACTTTTTTTTTCATTTTAACTTCTTCATAGATCTTGGCGTATATATCATTGGTTCGACTGTGAATGGATTCGGATTATGTAACAATGATTTAGATCTTTGTCTAATGGTTTCACATGAAACGGTAAACTCCCTTTTATTAAAAAGAAGTAAAAATATTTACATTTATTTTCTAGTTAAATGAATTAGAAACCGGTTTATTATTGCAAAAGATTCGAAATATTTTGCATACTGGAAGTAAGATTCTACTAATATCTTAAAATATATTCATCAGAGATCATTTGTTTTCAAAGACTTTTTTCAACAAGTACATCTATTTAAACGATCATTTCTCACATTATCATTCTATGATATTATAACGTAGGTTAATCTGACTATTTTGAGTGATAAGATTAATCTCTTTTCTTTGATTATTTTTTACAGATCAATTAAATGTAACATATTTTTGAATGAATCAACATCGATCAGAAATTCTTATTTGATGCGTTATTTTGCTGAATGTGATCATCGTGTATCTATAGTGGTTGCGGCAATTAAATGTTGGGCTCAAACAGTCAAATTAAAAAAAATATCTAATAATTCATTAAGTGGTTATAGTTTAACGTTAATGGCAGTCTATTATTTACAATCGGCACTATTACCCCCGATACTACCAAGATATAATGATATATTGTCTGATAATTTTGACTCAAATATTGATATAAGAAAATTAGATATGAATAATGCCTATGAACTCTGTAAAAATTCATTATTGTTATCATCAAATAAAATGAATGTCGGAGAGTTATTTATTGGATTTTTAAAATTTTATGCATATGATTTTGAGTAAGATAACAAGAAATTATTTTTATTAAATAACTTTATACAGTTTTTTTTCGTGAATATTGACTTATATTGAAACTTTGCGTTTTGTTATTTTAGTTTTGTTAATGATATCATCAGTGTTCGTATGGCATCAAAGTTTAGTAAGAAAGATTCTCTAAATGAAACAGATAAATTCAACAAATATATCGTTATTGAAGGTGATGTTTCTTATATTTTCTTATATTTAGCTAAACGTTGATTTTAACTGTTTTTAGAACCATTGACTAGTGCAAATACGGCAATTGGAATTACCAGTGAACAAACACTTCATGATATTAATAAAGTATTTGTAAATAGTTATGAGAAAATATGTAAATTAAAAAGTTTTACATCACTCTTAACTGCGTTAGCTTAGTTAAAATTCAATTTGTAACTCTTGTTATTGTTCATTTTTGGATATTGCACATACTGTAAAGTTGTTTTGTTTTTGTTCAAATTAAAACTACATTAATTCTATATTATTTCTCAAAAATTTTGTTTTTTGGATTTAAGCGTTGGTAATCATTTGTCCTCATTTTCACCATAGTACTGTTAACTCTTGAATCCATTGCATTACTTGTTCGTAGAAGCTAACTGCCACTGCACATCTGACTTTGTTTTTTTTTAATTTTATTAAATAACACATATTTTACAAAAGAACGCAGGAGAATAACAGCACAACAACATATGATTACTATAATCATAAAATATACAGAATACAAGAACTAGTAGTTTTTTTGATGGAGGTGGTAATGATGAGATAAAAATTTCACAATATTTTAACCCGAACATCCACGACATCCACAGTGAACACATTCTACAACTTTTCCCTCTTCTAATTTTTCTTTTGGCACACGGCAGACACATTTTTTACCAAAATTTGTGTCACGCGGTTGTATACAACGTAAACAACATAAGTTTTCGTAGCCTTGTTTTTTCCATTGTGCAATTAATGATTTATCAGCGATTGATTCTTTAATACAATAATCATATAATTCTTTACTGATTGCTTTACGTTTAAAATATAAATCGAATAAAAAACGTGATTTTTGATGATGTATTTTAAATATTGGCCATAATGTTTCTACTTTACGTTTACCTTCATGCGGAGCTATTTCAGCTTCTCGCATTTTACCATCTAATTCATCTAGTGTTGGTTCGATTAACTCCCATCCTTCTGGTTTTGGCTTATTTTTACGAACTTTAACCATTATTTTGACAATAAATTTTGTATGTAAAAGAGATCTGAAAAATAAACGGACATCCAGACAACACATTTTTGCCATCAATGATTGAAACCAAAAAGCAAAATGGTATAAACTAACGAGCTAAGAAATCATTGAAATTCGATTTTGCGATCGAGTTTGCCTAAATCAAGCTCATCGTTCCCGAATGAACTGTTCATTCATATTACGATTGTATGTGAAGGAGTTCTGCCATTATAATATACTGCTACTATATCGTTGTTTACTCAAATTTGAGCGAAAACTGACTCCACTCAGAATCCCAGACTATATGGATAGGACAGCAAAGGATTGATGAACAGTTACTAGATGAACAGAAAAAAACTAACGCTGTTCATTTCTTGTCTGATTTATTTTGGATACAAGAACAGATAATAATTCAAATAAAATTTGTACGAAAGAAAAACAGAAAAACAACGCCGTTTTTCTTTAGTGACGGATATACAAATATTATCGACGTGTATGTTTTTTTTTCTTCTTCTTTTCTCTAATACTTATAATGGTTTTCTATAAACAAAAACACGCACGCACAGAAACATGGGATAAACAAAAAAAGTGCACTAGTTTGATTAACAATTGATTTTTTTCTTTCTCATATAAAAATAGTGTTAACTGAACAAAAAACAAAAATAGAGAGCAAAAGAAACTTGCCTACAGTACTGTAAACAAAAAGCTACTTTTTTCTTTTACATTTTACTCAAGTGATGTAACTAACAACGTTACTAACTAGTTAACAATATCCTTAACAAATAACAAGTGAAACGAAGAACTGATTTTAACTAAACATTTTTACTTATCTAGTTCTAGGGATAATACAAAAAAATGCTAGAGGTAGAGGTGAACAAATATCAATGAATAGCGCATGAAAAAAAAAGACAGTTATTGCATTTGTTTTCGTCGTCTAGCTTTAAGTAATGTGCGTTTGGACTGGTCGGAACTCGTAATATCAAGTACGTTTGAACTGAAACAAACGAAGAAAACGTTATACAAAACTTACTGTCAAAGAAGGCGAACAATTACGCCTTTAGCTTTTGTGTTGAACGAATATTTTTTGAATGTAGAGTCCATTGTAAAGCGCTTGCAATATTCTTACATTAAAACTGAAGACAATTTCCGTTTGCTGAGATTTGGAATACGTAAAAGTTACTGAAGAACAGAAGTAACAAAGCGGAGCAATACGTACTTGGCATGAGATGGTTGAGTACTTTCGTTTCCTGGTAATGAAGGTATCAATTGATCTTGCGTTTGACCAGCAAACGGATATGGATCTGTATTTGTGTGAGCTGGTGTCAAACCGAAACTTGATGGTGTAGATTGACTACTGAATGCTGTTGAAGCAACTGGTATTGGCGGAGAACCATTGCTGTTATTATCAGCAGGTAAGCTGAACGGAAAACCGGCTGTTCTAGTGTTTGCTGATGAATTTGAAATAGTGGATTGAAATGTCGGTATTGTTGTGGACGGTAAAATTTGTGAAGATTTTGAATGGAATCCAAATGTCGGAAATGAGCCGAATGATGAAACTGAAAAACACAACAAACCATTTTCATACTGAAATTAGAAACATTGTTTGTTGACATTCAAGCATAGACTGAGCATACAGCTAGTCCTTCTTCAATGAGAATGTTTTTAACAAACTGTTTTTATATACCGTTCTCAGATGATTGTTGTCCCATTGAACCGAAAAGAATTGGTGTTGTTGTTGCAGCTGACGTTGAAATAGTATTTCCTGATGATGGATTCGTTAATAGGGTAGATCCAAAAAGTCCACCAGAACCGAATCCACTAAACGGACTAAGAGTATTAGTCGACATTACTGGCGTTTGAGTTATTGTTGTTGTGAAGGGTAAAACGCTGAGAGTTGCTAGAGGTGAAAATGCTGAACTTATCGATTGAAATAGGTGAGATTGTGCTGTTGTTGTTATTGCTGTTGAGATATTTGATTGGATTGTCTGCGATGTTGTTGTCGGGAAACTTGCAGAGGGGCTACTGGATCCAAAAGAAGAAGAACCAAATAATGATGCTCCAGTACCAAATAGAAAAGGAGTTGTTATTGAAGGAGTATCTGCAGCTATGCTAAGAGTTGATGATTTTGTTGTTTGGGCTGAAAAACCGCTCGATAATAACGATGGAAATCCCTGTCCAAATATTGTCGTTACAGAAGTCTGTGCAGGTGTGTATTGGGTTGTTGTGGTAAATAGTGTACTTCCAGCAGTCGTTGTTGACACAGATACAACCTTATCTGTGGTTTGTGTTGGTGATGTGCTATTTGATTGAGAATGTGGCGTTGTCGTGGTTGGCAGATCCGATAGAACAGATCGTGCTGATGTAAATGGAATCATACCAGAGCCAAATTGGAATCCAGTTGATATTGATGAAGGTGCTGTTACTGAGGAACTAACGATACTTGGTTGGAATGACTGCGATATTGCTGTAAAAGGCAAACTCATTACTGAATTAGCAGAGCCGATATTTGAACCAAATTGTAATGTTTTAGCGGAGAAGCCTTGTGCAAATGTCCCAAAGGATACTGGCTCTGTGGAAGCTCGTGTTGAAATAGAGGTCGGCGATAACCCTCGTTCACTACTTAATGATTTTGTTGCTGGTACAGAAAATTGAAAACTATCCGATAGTGTAGAGAGAACAGCCTTTGGTTGACTCTGTACTGTATTTAGCGTTTCAATAACTGTTTTAGCAGGAGCTAAATATTAAAAGACAAATAAGTTTTCTCAATATATACAGTGTATTGTAAGAAACATACAGTTTATTGCTTGAGATACGAGTAAGGGAGTTTGCACCATATTTGCCTCACTCTTTTTAGTATCCAATTGGTCTGGTATTGTATCAGCTTGAATCGGAAACGTAGATGATGAGACAGATATTAATGGCTTGTCGTTGCTCTTTACTAAAAATGATAAAGAATTTATTTGAAAAAATATTAGCGATGTTGCAATTATCAAGCATTTTACGTACCACTTAATTGCGTGTATTTTGGATTACTAGCAGGACAAGCTGCTTGCATCGGATGTTCCGTTGAACATAATAGACATTTCCAAACTAATTCACGAGAAACAGGCATTTTGTACGATGCTAGTGGTAATGTTGGTATTGCCGTTAATACTTTTGTTGATTCATTGGACCGGGTTGTTTTGTTTGCTGAAAGCGTATCTAACGTAGGTTGATGAGCATTTTGTTGTTTTTGAGCGGGTTGAATAGACTCTAACACAAAGAAAATGCTTACAGTTTAAGAAGTGTCATTATATGGATCAGAGTGAGGAAAATAGTGCAATGTTATATAAAAAATCACATTCTTTATACAGAAAATCCGCAAACTCTGAATATTCAGTATAGCTATCATACTATGCAACCACTGCAAACGCTTACTAATACAATTCCCAATTTAATAGACTAACCTATTTCATTATAACATAAATTTAAATTTTGTTTTGCAAATTCTTCTTGTGCACGAACAAATTTTGGCCAAGAGAATGGTGTAAAGTCGTCCAAAATCTAAAAACAAGATGAATTGAAAAAAAATACGTTCTTTACATAAAAAGTTGACTAACGCACTTTTACATGAGATGTTATATTGTTGGGTTGTATTTTGGATTCGATTGTAATTGAACTATTTGTTGAAAGGGATGCTAACTGAGGCTGCGACTGTTGTGTTTGATTACTAATATTTTTTTCTGTTAATTGCGATGTTGTTTCTAAAACCGGAAATGTTTGACACTTTGACAATGTTTCATTAGAATCATTGGTTGTATTCTACAATGCAGATATGAAAAAATTAAAATTAAAAAAATTAACTAATAAACGATTTACTTCAGTTTGCACTCCACATTGCACTCCAGCCTCTTTTCCAATTTTTGTGGTTTTATGGGTGTCTTGTTCAGCAAGTGGAGATAATGGCCTAAGGAAAAACAAAACATATTTAATCACTATCACGTTTTTGAATCTAATAATATATAATAATCAATTTTTCGATACGCTTCCAGCTACTGCCAGCTATTGCTCTACTCTTTCCAAGCTTTATTTGAATTATCAAGCTAATTTATACGACACTTACGGATCAAGGAGAGTCCTATTTAATCGTACACAATTCTCTAAAGTTCGACGACGAAGGCGTTCGATATAAGGCAAGCGTCGTGAGGTGGTTGATGAGTAATTTGTATTAGACAATTTTGCATTTGTTGATAACTGGAATAATGGAATGAAATATTCTAGAACCGATATATATTAAATAAGTGTCCAGATAGCTTACAAGATGATTACTAAAACCACGACCGAATGGATTTGTCAACGTTTGATTATGCCGACTCGAATATAACTGAAATAAAAAAAAGACATTCATTAGTCTTGCTCTGTTGGTTATAGCTAGAAACAAGCAAGATCGGTATCTCTTCTAGACAAAAAGTCAGACGATGTAAGTACATTCGAGAAATGTAGTTCATCTCTCTGATACTCAAAACAAGCAAATAAGTAACTGTAGCTTACACTTGAATTGAACGTTTCAACTGGTGATCGTATTGTAGATGATGCACGCTAATAAAATGCAAAAATTTACAGTAATCAATACAGAGTGATGCTATGAACTTACATTAGCACCAGCTGTAAACAATGTGGAATGATCATAATTTGGTTTGTTGATGTGTCCTTGTGACGGAAACGTTGATATTATTTTTAACGTTTTATCTTTTCTTTCTTTTGAAAACATTGTTGTTCTGTTATTAATATCGAAGGTGATGGACGATGTTTGAGGAATGGTAAGTTCAGGTATTTTTGAAGCTGATGCCGTCGATATTAATACTAGCAATAAAAAAAAAAGTTTTGACAAAAGAAATGTTAAGTACAACTGGTAGATGAATAGAGTACTCAATTAAAAAAAAATGTCTCAGATGAGTATTTTCTCTGCTAAGTAGATAGATTCTGAAATACAATCCCCAAGGCTGAGCTCAGTGGCACACTCAGGAACTTCTTAGGAGATCAGCTAAAACTTTTTACGTTTTAATGTAAACTTTTTCGTGAAAAGACTATCGGTATTTTAAGCGGTGACTATGGCTTGTTGCTCCCTCTCTCGAAAATACATCAATGGCTAGATAGTCATCAGTTGATCGTAAATTACTATCTCCATTTGTTATTGTGCGAGGACGTTTTGTTTGTGGATAATAAAGTTGTTTTCGATCTTTCAAGTTTAATTGATTATTGTCGTTTGAATCTTCGTCGTCTGTCAATCGTAGTTGCTCATCAGCAAAGCGAACTGCTAAAAGAAACAAAAATGAGCATTTTCAGTTGAATACTGTTACTTTATATTAGTAACTCACTATTAGTTTGAAAGCTTGTATCTTTTTTAGTTTTAAAACGTGATAAATTTGATTTCAGAACAGTCGATGTTTGCCTACTATCGGTATTATTATTATCATTATCATTATCATCATGTAGTTGCCTGTTGTTCTCATCTTCTCGTTTATCATCTGATACATCGTCCATTGATGGTCGTTTTCTTTTCTAGAATGAACTTTAAATAGAGTACTTGAAAAAACAAAATTATACGTGGTAAATTACCTCAGTCGTGCTCGAAAATGAAAACGATGGATGGAACAATTTTGAAACGGCATTCTTCACTTTATCTATTACGCTCTGAAACAAAGGAGACATAGAAAGACAATCTTACTCGAAGAGCAAGCATTTGCTTATAAACATACTTCATTTTCACTAGCAGATGACAAATCGCCGTTAGATGCATTTCCGTATGTATTTGTCATTCTAAAACAAAATAACTAGACTATAAAATTTTGAAGAATGGTGTAAAAAACTGCTAAAGATGGAAAAAATGAATAGTACACCAGTGGACCGCACGTTTCCACTTTGTTTTCGAAATCATAATGCTGCGAATGGAAGTCTAAAAAAGATGAAACACATCCTTCTAATAAAGTAATTAAGTCTTACAGTTTTCTTTCTTCAATAAAAAGAACAAGTTCGACCATTTATAACAGACGCACATAAAGTGAAGATAAAAACATAGATTCTCTTGGAAACGGCTTTTAGTATTTGTGATTCAAAATCAGTAAAGTTGAAAGAAATACTCCTTCCAATTTGTAAGTATGACTCGTTAAGGTTACGATATGTTCAGGATTTTTCTAAATACCGTTCATTGGCGCTCACCCATGAAATATAACGCTATCTGACGTAAAAAAGTGTAGAAGAACAAATAAGGTGCATCTTTTTCTTACCAATCCGCTCTTTGTACTTTATTTTTTCTAGCAGACTGCAGAACCGAGGGCAACAGAGAATGGTGAGGTCTCAGAATTTCTGTAGGTGAGACAAGATCAAATAGTTCATGTCTAAAACATTTTGAGCGTAGAGTCAAACAGGAAAAGCAAACATTATTTTTGGACCGTGTGTTGACTCTATTAGCATATGCCCGCTCTGCTTGTGTTCTCTCTCTTAAATAGATTTAATTTCTTTTGTATCAGCCACATTGGTCCTCTGCACATTTTTCTTGGTTACGCAAATTTTCTGCAAATTAATCCCGTGGCCGTGATTAACGGCCCGAAAAAACCAACGGTTGGTTGTTTTTTCCGCATAGAGGGAGGGGTGATATGAAAATGGAGCGATCGTAGAGCAGCCAATGGTTTGTTTATCACAGTCCTCAAAATTGTGCACGAGTTCGAAAGGTGCATTAATGACTCATTAATGTGCTTATATTTCACACGGGCGTCATTAAAATTTTGATGTAGAAATAAATCTTATAACCATCATATTATTTCTTTTCAATGATTTACATCACTTTTAAAAAAGCGAGATTGCACCTAGAAACGGAATTGAAGATTCTCAGGTTAATGGTAATTTTCTGATCCATGTGCACTGTGCAGTTTTGTAAAATGAAGGAATAAGAAATAAGAAAAGCCGTGTGGTTTGAAGAAGAAAGAAGAAAAAAAATTCTAGCTTGTGCCCACCGTTACTCGTATAGGATGCTGACTTAATCAGTTCGAGTAACCCGATTTCCTCATTGTAACTAACAAACTTCCACCATGGTCTCTCATATCGTTACTAGTCATCAACCGCAGTTCTGTACAGTAGGATAGTCTAAGCCATAGACCTTTATCTAATAACTTCATCTTCTTCTATACACTAACGAAACATGTACTACATTTGTGGGAAGCCAGAGAAACTATGTTGAACATCACAGTGTGAAATCAAATGAGTGAAGGCACTAATACATAAGTAATTTGCCCAAGTTTATTACATGCTTGTGGGCGTGAAGGTCCAAATACAACATGTTTGAGGTAGAGTATAAGCACCAAACCATCCTATTCATTACCTCGGTCGACGAAAACTGACAGTTGATAACTCATGCATAGTCTGTTGACTGCATGACATATAAAAACACAGTTTTAATCGGTGATAACTGTTAAAGAACTGCCCATTAATAGTCACCGTTTTCAGCATAAATCATAGTCCGTCTTTCAGCATAAATCATAGTCTTAAGATACTCTACTGTATGTACTTGAAACTGGAATTTACATCAGCCATTAATTCTGTGCTAATATACACCATTTTGGAATATTTAATATATCAGGAAAAAGCTAGTATTCAACATTCCCAGTTAAATACCAGTTTTCAACCATGTGTTAACAAAACATTCATCCTTTTGTTTTCCTGTTATGACCAATATAAATATGACGCTGATTCTTTTGCATTCACTCAGAATCGACCTTCAAGTCATCGAAACTTGTCTCGAGAAAGTAGGCTCTAGTTCTGGGACTGGTGCTATTGATGGCATTATAGTCGGTCAAGGAACCAAAATACTGAAATTTTTACATTGCGTCTTTGTGAGGATATAACCAGTAAGAAAACATTCAAAAAATAGGTTGTTAACGGTCCATAACGGTAAAATATCATTATTATCAAAACATACATTATACAATGTCTATCTTTTGATCGTAAAAAAGCTATCACTTTTAGGCATTGATACGTTCCCAGTCTAAATAACTATAAACAGACAAAACATTGTTGCAATGGTCTATAAACATGCATTTAACAAACATTGCATGGGTTAATAATTAGTGTTTAATAGATAATTAATCAATTTTCAACGCCCTGGATAGCTACGAATCATGGTCAGCTTTAATTTCTTGTCCAAATTTTCCTTACAGATTTGTCCTGAAATTGTTTTCTTTACGAAACATTTTTAATAAAGCAATATTGAGAACAGAGTTCAGTCACATTCCCACTATATGATAATTATCTTTTTTAATAAGAGCTAACTTCAGATTTAGACAAAGGTCTGAAGTAATGCTTGCTGCCCAAAAGACTTTTATTTATAAAACAACAATGCACCGACTACCTTGTGCTCGATAAATGTTTTACCATAAACATGAATTGGTAGCAAATACTATATTTACAATTGTATCATATTTCTGAGATTATTTTATCGTTCATTTTTTTCAATGTTCAAATAATTTATGTGCATACTCGTTCTTCTATTTCAGAAGTATAACCATTGTTTTATCATGAGTTTGAAGATTGTAGATCCCGATTTTGTTAAAAAAACGACACCGAAAAGTAAGTTGATCGATGCAATAAATTTTGTTTCCACCTATGCAGGATTAAAATAAAATTATAGAAAAAAAGAGACAGTACAAGCAAAGTTTTTATTTTCCAAATAAACTTCATTCATTGATTATGTGATCAGTTGTCAAAAAGTTGCTAAAAAATCAGTAATTGTAACGAAATAAATTAATTCAGTTTTTCTTTTACATTGTCTGCAGAACGCAGGTACAAATATTTTTTGAACAAACATTTCGCTGAAGAAAAATAGAAAATAATATTTTAACAAGTAGTATAGGGCTAAATTAGTCACTCTTTACATCTCTGACTCTATGTCAAAACGACTATTACTAACTTAGAACGAACTCGTCAACGGTTCCAAGAAGATGTTTGTGTCAAAACAAGTTTACCACCACATGTCGAAGGTTAGTTTTAACCTTACCCTTAAAATTATTGTAGAAGAATGGTTTTCTTTTTGAGGCCCTGTACACTCATTATTAATTTTACACATACCGAAATTACGATGGCACTCTAAACAACCACCTTGTGGAATTGCACATGTTAAAGTAAATTGGTGGGGTGAGGAAAACAGTTCATCAATATTTAGGTAAAATTAAAATTTGCAAAAGAATATAAAGTGTTCAAACCGAATTTTCACTTAGTTTAGACCACAAATAGTCAATGCCATACCAGATCATAGACAAAAACCATGCACAACAGCCAAATATTATATTCGAAGTGAAATGAAACAATTTTCAAAATATTTGACAGGTACATGCCCTTTTGTTGTACTTAGTTTATTTTCATTTATCCTTTTCCTCTTGCATATAGACGCTGCTGAACTCGTTCTCAAAATCCTCGATAGTGACACAAATCGTTTACTTGGAATTGTTAAAGTGCAACATCTATCTACATTAAACATCAATAATCCAATAAAAGGGTATATCTTTCTTATTGAGTTTTCGATTTATTTGTCTACCTACTTTCCTTTGTTCAGTTATTTACCTATTTTTACAACGAAAGGAGAAAAATTAGGTGATTTATTTGTGACTATTAGAATAATATTGCCTGGAAGTAAGTATTTGGAATTTTTCGAAATAGAAAATTAGGTTTTTAACTTTTGTATCTATGTTTATACTAGCTAATGATAGCAATGATCATTTGGTTTGGAGTAGTTCTGACGTCAGTAATCCAGTATCGAGGCGTAATTCTATCGGAGGAAACGAAAATAATCAGGTATTTGTTCTTAGATATTGAATGTACCAGGCACATTTAATAATATGTGAGTGCTAGACACTCTACTGTGTTCAAATAAGTCAAGACTACTTATTTTATTTTCTAATTTTAGGGTGGTTTAATTGATAATGGGATGAGGACATTTACATTAGATCGTGCCTATAGTGCTGACTGTTTGAATTCCTCATCTAATGCGACGACAATCATTCAACGATCAAATCTGAATCATAATACTAACAGAACAGAGACTGCACCATCTCGTGCTAATACTAAAGTTAATCTACAAAAACAACAAGAGACTCTAGAGCATAAAAATTTACCAGCAGACACAGTAGTCGAAGCATTGATCGAGCGTGCAAAAAGATTACGTGAAGACATAGTAAAATCATCATTAAATAAAGATAAAGATGTTAGTACGGATACAAATGTAATTGATATATCGAGTGAAAAAACTAGAACGAATAATGCACTATTAACCGCAAACTCATTAGCTATGTTGTCGTCGCATGATGATAATCAAAGAACTGCCTATGATTTATTAGGTATCAAGACTGTGGCCAAGACCACACATGAGTCGACAGAATCAATATTATCAGATCTAGATGGATTGGAGTATGAACAAGGTCTATTAGATGATTTATTATATGGTACGAATGTGAAAACTGACTCAGATTTAATGTCACTGTCGTTTAATAATGAACACCAACAACATCAGTTAACACGTTCATCAAAGACAAATATGAAAATAATACACGGTCGACCACCAACAGGAAGACAAGCACGAAGTCCGAATCCAAATGGTGCTCGTATTAGTCGTGGTTTAAATAGTTGTAGTCCAAGTGGTAGTCGAAGTAGAAGTGTAGCAAGAAGTACAGATAGTGATTCAGCATCGAAAGTATCATTTGATATGCCCAATTCAGATGTTGAATCAAGTGGAAACGGTAAGAAAGTTTTTCCAGTTAGTTTTATTTAAAATTATTTTCTGTTTAGAAAGCCTTAATGGAGATGGTTTAAGTGCCGAACGTATCAGACTTCTTGGGCATGTGCGTACCGCTCGTATTAAAATAGATCGTTTATGTTTGAATGCATTATCGACCGCAGCTCGAAATGGTGGGCGTGAATCTCCAACACATGTATCATTTGGACGAACAACAAATACAGCGAAAAAAGCAACGTGAGTATGAGGAATAAAATGGTGAAAGTATTTTTGACATTAATAAGTTTAATTATAGTTATGGTTTCGCCGCAAAGATAATTCACGTGTAAATTATTCTCATTAGTTTTGCTTTTTTAGGACATATTTTGTTGAATATCAGTTTCCTGTTATTGTAAATAGTCGTGATGGACATATTAATGGTGCAACTGAAGTAATAAAAATCGCTTCAAAACGTTTTGAATCCAATAATGATATCATATTTAATCATTTTTCATCATATCCCGTATTATTAAATAGTGATACATTGAAAAATTGGTGGCGATCATTGTTAATATTTAAAATATATAGTCGTTTACCAGGTATCAATAGTCCCGCTCAAATTGGTTTTTGTGTACTGCCTTTACGAGATGTATTGAAAGCCGAATATTTACATATTGAAGAAAATTTGAAAGTTATTGATCGTACACAATTAAAAATAAATAATAAAATACCAAATAAAATATCAAAAAAATTTTTAATAGGAAATTTGAAATTAATGTTAGAATTAAATTCTGATTCAAAAGATTTTAAATATGAATTGGATCGTACACGATTACAAGAAAAATTAAATCCAAATAAAAAATTATTATCAATTTGTTCACCAACAAAACAAAAATCATTAACAAAAAAATCATCAAAAAAAAAACTGACAATAATAAATGATGATTTAATATTACCAAAGGCATTTGAAAGTAAAGGTTTTATCAATAATAGTGAATCACAAGAATTCGATGGTACGATGACGATGAACGGTCAAGCAACTGTTGTACAAATTCTAGTATCAATACCCGAAGCAAGAAATATTACACAAACAGTACCAACAAATGGTAATAATGAATGAGTCTGAAATCTTTCACAAGTCTTTCTATTCAATGGTATTATATTTTAGGATCCTCTAAGAATTCACCACGAAATCCGTATTGTGTTTGTCGAATGTTTTGGAACGATGGACCATTAACGTCGATTGTATGTTGGGGTACTTCAACACCACGTTTCAATTTTGAACAAGTAAGAGTTATGTGTGTGTCTGTGTGACTTGTATTACTAAAATATGTTTTTCTTCCAAGCGCACCCCAGTTTTATTATCAACATCAACATTAGAAAAAATGTATCAAAACTTTTTAATCATTGAAGTATGGGATAAAAAGATGTCCTCGCCAGCTGATAAATTAATTGGCATCGTTAAAGTATCACTACAACAATTTTATACATCATTTAAAGATAAACGTATTAGTCATGTGTTACTACGTTCACAATATCCAATACTTGGTGTTGACTCTTGGTTACCTATCATTGATCCATTCACGGGAATATTAAGTGGTGAATTAAAAATATTATTAGCTGTAGGTTCGACCGAGCAAGTAAGATCTAATTCTCTTTCTACTTTTTCAGTAGTTCACCAGAATTGTCTCATCAGGTAACCACTTTACAAATGCAATGTGGAGATAATAATATTCAAACAAAAATTCCGAATAGCAATATGGCTATGTCTAATGTCAATAATAATACTCAATATATCGGTCATTCTGGTCCATTTGATATGATTGATTTAAATAGTCAGTCTGTCGAACATCAATTTGAAATAATGATTGAAGGTATAAATGGTTTGCGGGCATTTGAATCATTGATATGGGGTGAAAGTGATTGTTTCATACAATACCATTTTCCTGTGCAAATTGACAAACAACAATCATCAAATTCAAAAACCATCAGTGGTCTAACTGATAATCGAAATAGATTAGCATTTCAAATGCGCGTGAATCGTACAGCAGCCACATTATGTACAAGTGATCCAACATTCCATGATTGCGGAAAATTTCGATATATTCTATCACCGTCTGAAGCATTACATAAACCGTTTTTTGCTGGTAAATAAAGATAGATTTTGATATTGAAGAATTTTTTTGACAGTTTTTATTTATTATAGCTTATCAGTCTGTTCCATCTTTTGAAGCTTCTATACCGTTTGAAGTATGGACAAGATTTTATTATCCGAATATACGTGATCAACTATTAGCAAAAGTAAGACAAAACAGGTTTAACTGAAAAACAAAGTGTTGAATAAAACTATAACATTTAGGGTAAATTATCTGCATCAAAATTATGTAGTATGACAACAATGTTGATAAATACAGATGATAAAGCGATTCAATCTTTTCGTATACCACTGGAAATAGTCCAGGATGAAAATCATAATGAACAACATTACATATCTTCATCTTCAGCATCGTACGGAGGAGATCTACTCGTGACTGTGACATACAGACGAAATATAATAAGAGTAATATGTTAATTAAGTCACACAGATAGAAATGATTCATCATTCTTGTCTTATTTAGTTAGATGAACGACAATTTAAACAAGCTATTGTCGATAGAATTGGCGGCTCTCAAGTATGTCTGTCTGTAGGTATAATACGTGCATGCGGATTAAAAGTAAGTTTTAGATATTTTAATTACGTTCATTTTTCACATATTGTTTTTTCATCGTAGTATGCAGCAAAATTACAATCACGTCATGACTCACGTTTAAGTTATCCATCTCAAGTGGGCGTAAATACATACGCGAAATTATCATTGTCATTTTTATCTGATACTGTTTGTACTAGCATATAGAAACTTGACACTTTCTAACGTTGTTTTCTTTCATTATAGGAATCTCGTGTAACTCGTACAGTTGCACGGTCCTTTGTACCGGAATTTAATCATTCAATTGATTTCCCACTACCGTTAATATGGTGAGTTCATATTACTTCTAGATAATATTAACTACGTTATCGTTAACATCTTCAGGAGTGATAAGGGAAATGATTCAATTTCATTAGCTGAAATGCTTGAACATGGAGAATTAAAAATCGATTTATATCATCAAATAACATCAAATTCAAATGAAAATCCAACATCTCATTCATCAGTAACATCATCAGCAATAATAGCGAATCCTCCACCATCAACCATCATAACAAGAACAAATGGATTAGTCTCACGGCAAAAAAATGAAATACAATTAAGCGATGTACATTTATGTTATTGTACAATATCATTACGAGAATTATTAGCAAAAAATACAGGTAATATATTACAAAATTTACCTTGAAATTCGTTTTCAATTGTTCGTATGTTTTAGGTATAAAAGGTTGGTATCCTTTATCAAATCCGAGTCGTACAGCAAATGATCAAACATCAACAACAATGTCATCAATTGACTCAGCTGAAAACTGTGTTGGTGGTTTAGAATTATTTGTTCGTTTTGCTCAACAAGATGATCGACGACGAGTGATTGATTTTGCTAAAACTGTTGGATGGTTAGCCGATAATTATATGGATGAAGAACATTTTCTCGACGGTAAATGAAAGAGAGGAAATGTTAAATAAATCAGCATTATATAAAACGACTCACATATTTTTAGATCAGAAAGATTTGGGATGTCTTTTAACGGTCTCTATTGACCGAATTCAATTTCCAATTCATTTGGCTACACGTCCAGGAAAAGATCGGATTGATGAGAGAATCAGTGTATTTGTTCAATATCGACTTTACGACAAAAGTATGTCTTATGTATCCAAAATACTGTTTATTGTTTCATTTCTTTGTTGATTCTAGTGCCCATTATTACCAAACGAAAAAAACCTATTATTGATAAACATTATGTTAGTTGTGAATTGAAATTTAATAAAGAACATTTATTTCTATGTAGCTCACCGTTTATTTGGTACTTACGTGAAGAAAAATTTGAAATTCAAATATGGACAAGTGAAAATGATCATTATGAACAAGCTCAATCATCAACAGATAAATTAATTGGTTCTATTTATATTGATCTAAATAGTTTATGTGATCGTAAACGCAAAACACATCGATTAAGTGCCATATTACCAATGTTTAAAAATGGAACAAAGGATTTAGCTGGCTCCTATGTACAAACACATATAACAATAGATAAATCAAAAGATTTTAATGAACTAAGAGTGAGAAAATTTTATGCGGTCTTAAATGTATTCAACTGAACTTCTTATGTTTTTTTATTAAGAGTTATAGTGCTAGTTCATCTAATGATACTGAAATTGATTCTTATTTGGAAAATCGACATTTACATTTAATTTTACCAGACAATAATCAATTGCCGATGAATAGAGCGTTGCATACAATAACAAATAATGTCTTCTCTGTTATTATAAACATCGAACAGGCGGCACATTTACCCAATGTTTATTCAAAAACAGAGTATGTAATATCGTCTATCTTAAAATCAGTATTAGTACTACTATCATAGACAAAAATCAAATTGTTCCCGTTATTACAGAAATGAGGATGTCCTACCAAACCCATATGTTACATATGGTACAGCAAATTCTGGACATTTATATAAAACAAACGTATTAAATAAAACTTGTAAACCAATGTGGAATTATCAACAGCAAGGTATGAGCATTCCTATGTCAAAAGGATGCCATTAATCTAAACCTAATTTTTATTACTCTATTTTGATCTAGTTAAATTATCAATTGAACATTTATTTAATGAAAAGAAAAATTTTATATTAAAAGTGTGGCATAAAATTAATGCCGATATTGAATCTATACCAGGTAGATAGTTGATCAGTAAAATGTTTTCATTAAAACTATTCTTGTCTAATAATCATATTTTATTTCTAGAAAAATCTGGCGATAAAGTACTTGGTTTTGTTTCAATCGATTTGAGTCCATTATTGTCTGGCATGCAACACATCAGTGGTTGGTATAATATAATCGATATGATTGGAAATGTGCAAGGTCAATTGAAAATAACTGTTATTCCACAAGAAGATTTACTTGGTTTAAAACGTTATAAATACACAAACTATAACTATTTTAATAATCGGCAGAAATTAGATTCAAGTCGGTCGACAGCAACATCAGCGACGACAACAACTGGACTAAATTTTATGGCTGATCTTTCCGCACGATCTGGTCATATTTGTTCATCAAACTCGTCAACGATTCAAAATAATGACGATGAAACAAATAAACAGTCTTTGCTTATGACTAATTTACGGTAAAATCATCATCGTATTAAATCAAACGTTAATATTTTGTTATCATTTGTTTTTTTAGTCGTCAGTTAGGAGAATTGGATGTGATTACTGAACGTTTGAAAGCACGTTGCTACGCTGGATCAGATGTATCGTCTGAAACTGGACGAAGTAGTGTTCCGCCACCGTCTGAACAAAATTCAATGATCGGAAGGCAATCCGATTTGAATTTACAATATCGCTCTCATTCTGCAACAAGCAAATCTCAACACCAACAACTACCTTCGTCTTGTACAAAATCAACGTTCGATATTGATATTTCAGAACATTTTCCTGAATCATTGAATGGCAAACCATTGATTAGTAATGGTCTCAATGTGACCGATGTTTTGACGCTTCATAATGATCAAGTGCGTTTAGCCCAACAACTTATGTCAAAAGCAAATCATCTACTAGAAACATCAAAAGATTTTTTTACAACAGCCGATATGAATGTACAACTATCAAATCTTAATAAAAATACCAATGATAATAGCAACAACCAGCGTACTGATCATCCAATGAAAGCATCATTAAAAACAAATTTTAATATGACAAGTGAATTTCAAGTACCAGAACTGGATGATGAAAAGCTCGTTATACTTCCAATAACGGAACATCGTCAGTCACCACCACTCGCACGTCAACGTTTAACAACAACGACGATAAAAACCAGTAACATAGGCATTGATGAACGTGTTAAGTAGGTTAACATTAAACTTTTATTATTAAAAAACACTAAGTTTATCTGTATTTTGATTTTAATTCTAATAGTTCCTTCGAACATAATTATAGTCCAACAACGATAATCAGTAATGGTCAGTTAAATCACACATCACAGACAAATAATGAGAATGAGAATGATCTGAACAATCAGGCACACTGGCCCATTGAGATTCTTCCAGATCGGATTAAAACTGCTTCATCGAATATCGAACAACAAGCTTACTCTACTATCACATTACCGTTAACAAAACGAAATAAAAATAATTATAACGATGGTGGTGGTGGTAACGATGACAAACATAATGATACTGTGAATATTCAACCACTGAATGATTTGTCAGCATTTAACTTTGACTGGAATAAAATGAACGTTCAACGATTAAATGGTGAACTAGCTAAAAATCATTAACGAAAAAAGTTGTTTTGCTCTTTTTTTAAAGATATTACTTCCTTCTATCGAACTGACCACATTCAAACATCGGTGCTAGTGAATGATACTTCACCATTACTCAATCATCAGAATTTCTCCATTACAAAGGAAGAGATTGCTATTTTATCTCCAAGAGCCACCACCATTACACATACTGTAGTTTCAACTCATGATCGAATCCCTAAAAATAATACATTACATCGAACATCATCATCATCATCCTCGCCGAGATTATCATCAACAGTTACTGTTTTACCATCTCAGACTAACAAGGAACACGAGAAAATTATTCCAGTACGTACCATTCAACGGTCAACATCACCAAGATCTTCTTCATCGGTACCACCAACGTCAAGAACTGAAGAAAAATCTCATCAATCTTTGAATCCTGATACAAATTGTATAAATGCAAATTGGATTGAAGAACAAAAAGAACAGCAAGATAGATTAAGAAAGAAGCAACAACAAAAACAGAAATCGAACGAAGATCAATCAAAATCAGTTAGTACTATGATAATATGCGAGCGATATATAAAAAATATCTAATTAAAAATTATTTTTAATTGTAGACCAGTAGAAGTCCATATTTGTCATTTCTTGATCATCCATTACCAAATTTTTTTCCACCTAATCACAAAATGAAAGCTTCAATGAAACAAGTTTCTCAAGCATTAGCCGTTGTACGGATAGAGAAATATTTGATCTTTAACGTTAAACATTATCAGAATATTTTTCTTCTTAGAACCACACAAATGCTAGCGACAATCGTAATGAATTATCATCGTCAAGTGTGATGAAGACAATTCAACGTATACGTACAAAATCTTCGACCGAAATATTACGTGGAGCATCGCCATTAGAAACTCAACAACAGCAGACAAAGCGTTTAGAAAAAATATTCAAAACCAAATACACCACATCAAGTTAAATCTAATCGGAACCAAATAATGACATTTGGATTGCGCTTGTTTAGTTAATAGTTTCTTTAATTTTGCAGAATTTTTTCTGACCACCGCTCATATGTCCAATTTTTTTTTATGAGATGTATTTCTCTTTTTATTGACAGTGACAAGTGAACTTGTTGTCAAGACTACTTCTCTTCTAAGTTGATCTCATTTGCCACTATCATGGCATATTTATTTCCTATTTTTTTATTCAAATGGAAGAATTTAGATATATTTTTGTTATAGGAAAATAATAAGTAAAAATTTGGATCTTTTTTGTTTTTGATATTCCCCGGAATATGCTTGTGTGTGCGGTTCGTTTTGTTTTCATAGAAATTATGCAATTTTTTTCAATTTTTAACTAGTAATTATACGTATTTCTTGTTTGTTCATATGTATTAGAATTGTTATTTGTTAATTAGAAGTTGATGCTATTTATCTCTCTTCGAATATACTTGAAAGAAAATGGTTCAAAAAACGTAGAGCAGCTCAAGTTTTCGCTAATGCAATTTTCTGTTTAACAAGTGTTTATCAAGAATTCGGAACATAATCATCTTTTTTTCATGATCCATGAGTTATCCATGATGGACGATAATTATATACAAGCAAAAAAGTTATAGATCTTTCTGAGATCCGTTTTCTCTTAATTTAACTAAAACTCAGAAAGCTGTAACGTTCTTTCGAAATAAATAACGTTTCTTACACTGCTATATACCGGAGAAACGAGTAGCTTATTACGTAGTAAGATTGCATTTCTCTTGTACGTTAAAGTGCATTAAAAATTTGCCTACTTCAGTCAAACTTTTTAAAAGATTCAACGTGATCGATGCACTTACTGATCACGGTGGGAAGCCATGTGGACATTTTCTTATTCAGTAGTCTACACCGAAATGTAAGCTACCTTCTCCTCTAAATACTTTTTATTTTAACTGATACAAGGAAAGAACTCGCTATAGAAAATTGACTTACGTTCAGCTCGAGCATCCTTTTTATGCTCCTCTTCTATAGTCCCCTCTGACTGCAATATTGAAATGTTGGATGAACTATAGTATGGTGATCACGCACACTTTTATATCTAATTCTTTTTCAACTTTTTCCAAATTACAAACATTCTTCAATATATATTACATATTATGAGTTTATCCTCAATTTCGATATCACAGTTAGCGGGCTATAGTAGAGCGACGAAAAAAGA